CTTAGGCTTTCTCCAATTGTTATTTCATAATTTTTATCTTTGTTTTTAATAGATATAATTGATGATAATATTATTTATAATATTATCATCAATATACTAAGAATTTCCATTTTACCTCATAAACATTGAAATATTAAGTGTCCAGAAGAAGATATTATTCAAATTCTAAATACCGTCTACGAATCTTTTTTGAAACTTAAAATGAAAATCAAATTTAAGATTATAGAAAATAAGATGTTTCTATTTAAAACCGTATTTCTCTTCTTTTCTCTTCATTATCATAGTCACTGCTTTTATTCCTTCCTCCCTTAACCCTTCCATATTAATCAGCATTCTCCATTCCTGTCTAAATCTGATCCATCCTTCTCTCATCCCTTCCACCTTGTTCCTTCATGCAATCCCTCCATATTCTTCCGGAATCCATTTTTGAGTTGTTCCTTATTCAAAGAGAATAGAATATATTCTATATATATTCTATCCTATATCTTTACTGATTCTCTCATTCCTTCCAACTTCTTTCTTTTTATCCTTTCCTGCAATCCCTCCGTCCTTTCTGCTTCTCTCCTCCTTCCACCTTCCTACGTATTCCCCCTTCATGCAATTCCTCCATTCTTCCGGAATCCGTTCTTCCTTTCCTTCTTCTTCCTTATTTTTTCTTCATGCAATTCCTCCATTCTTCTGGAATACGTTCTTCCTTTCCTCCTTCTTCCTTATTTTTTCTTCAAGCAATTCCTCCATTCTTCCGGAATCCGTTCTTCCCTTCCACCTTTTTCCTTATTCATTCATATATTTATTCAACTACAAAGCATGAGATATTACAAATAAGCAATCACAATTTACTATGCATTTTGGACCCGCCTAACCAGGGTAGGTTGTTTTGAGTGGTTGGACCGAAGTTAATAAACGATACTGAATATAATTGGTGACACATATCAAGATATGTTTTTGGATCGGTAAGGAGTTGATTGGAAGGAAGGAGATTGTCAGGTGATCTGTGGCAGGGTGAGAATAGAGGGATTTTTATGTAGAGATAAATTAAAATACAGGGTTGTTAATGATGGTAGTTACATAAACAGAAATAAGCTAATACAGTTTCAGTTATTTAAGATGTTTTTCTTAATTATTCACACGATATACAGCTAGGTTTTTCGCATTTAAACCTCTCATAATTCTCAAGATAAATATTGATTGCTCTTTGTTTAAATATTTTTGCAGATTTAGTTTCTTTAAGGTCAATTTTAATTTCATTCCACAATTTAGGAAACATTGCATTCTCCCTTCCTTCAATCCCCCCCACATCCTCCTGAATCCTTTTTTTCCTTTCAATTTTTCCCTTCCTTCTTTATTCATATTCTTTTTTTCTTGAATCTTGCAATCTTTCCTCTGAATCTATCTCTTCCATTCTGTATTTTTTCTTAACCCTTGAAAGGAGATTTCATAGTCTTACTTCCAGTAATCCCCCATTCTATATATCTAATCCTTCCTTTTGCTTCTTACTTCACGTTTCCCTTTTCCTTTTTTTCCTTTCCTGAAATCCCTCCATCCTCCCTGACTCGTTGCAGCAATCCAATTTATTAACCCTAGACAAACACATTTTAATAGAACCATCCATTTCAGACAGGGGTAAGAGGGGGGGGGGTAGTAATATAAAAAATATAAAAACAATTTTTGATGACTTCTGAAGTCGTTTAAACAATTATATTTTTGAAGTTTTTTATTTAAAGATATTCTCCCCCCTGTACATTATACTATTAGAGCTCTGGTCTACAAAGTTATGTTTTCCTACACTGATTGATAAACATAAACGCGTGGCAGGACACGTGCGCGTCTGTTTACGCGCCTGTAATGCCGCTACTTAATCCAATTACATGAAGGAAAGTGCACGCGCCTAGGACGGCTTAATTTTATCAGAAAAAGAACATGTAGGATTAAGAAGGATTTAAATATGACGAATACATATGGGGAAGAAAGATTACAGTGGTAAAATGAACAAAATCAACATTGGATCCATATTTAAATAAATCTTAGAATTTAAAAGGATGTAATCTTTTTGTGATGACACTGAAATTATCAAAAATGAGATAAAATCAGGGAAATGGATAAAAGGAATAAAAAGGCTAGTGGTTAAAAAAGATCAAGTTATGGCTGAAATATGAATGTATGGGGGGGGGGAAGCACAGAATAGATATTATAATAGAAGCAAAATAAGGCTATCCTACGGTATGAATTTTTTCAGTTCCTTTGAGTCAAAAAGAAGTTCAAAGTGTACAATTCATGTTAATGTTCACAACTTATACGTAGTACATCACAATAAGATCTCTGTACATTTCCAGCACAGTGGACGTATCCGTTACAATTTCTTCTTTTTATAAAGCTGAGATGAATTCGGGAATGTAAAGTGAAGCTTATGCTGAAATGAACTCGGGAATGTATGACAGATTGTCAGAGAGTTGATTTAGAGGAGTTGATTTAGAGAAGTTGATTTAGAGGAATTGATTTAGAGGAGTTGATTTAGAGAAGTTGATTTAGAGAAGTTGATTTAGAGGAATTGATTTAGAGGAGTTGATTTAGAGAAGTTGATTTAGAGAAGTTGATTTAGAGGAGTTGATTTAGAGAAGTTGATTTAGAGGAGTTGATTTAGAGGAGTTGATTTAGAGAAGTTGATTTAGAGAAGTTGATTTAGAGGAATTGATTTAGAGGAGTTGATTTAGAGAAGTTGATATAGAGAAATTGATTTAGAGGAGTTGATTTAGAGGAGTTGATTTAGAGGAGTTGATTTAGAGAAGTTGATTTAGAGGAGTTGATCTAGAGAAGTTGATTTAGAGGAAATTAAATAATTTTCAAGAAAATTTATTTCTATAAATGTGTATATATAATATAGTACACCTGCGAACGGAAAAAGTGTAACAAAATGGCGGTTGTATACTTTTCTGGATTTATTCCACTTTTTATCTAAACTTTTTGGTGATAAAACAGAAGGGTAGGGGGGGGGGGTTGTAAGGTCTTGAGAGAAAATTTATAACAAAATAAAATATTTTCCTAAAGAATTATATCAGGAACATGTGCAGTGCATTAAGTGAATGATTATGAAGGAAAAAGAATAATTAAAACGAATATTTGAACGGACGAGAAAATGTGAAAGTTAAATATTTTATAAAATTCCTGACTTGAATGTTAAAAATTAAAAGTTTCAGAAATTCAGTTTTCCAAAGAGAGTTTCTAACCGTTTTTTCTTTTGCAAACCCAACACTGAGTCACTAATCTTCGCTTATAAGAAATTATTTCAAAACATTTTTTTCAAACAAAAAAGAATACTAAGTTTATAAAATATAAACGTCTTGACTTATGCGTTTCTGTCTGTGAAAGTACATACTATTTAATAATTATATAATATATACAGAAACAGATTTATTTTTACATTTTTAAATTTCATTTCAGAAAGTTAAAACATTCCACATAATTTCTTTTTCATAGAAAATTAAATTGGTCCAGATTTTTCCATTCAACCCGTATAGCTTGTTTCGAAACCAAAATCATTTTAGTTCACCAAACTCCACCTTATGGTAACCGGTTTTGTTTTCAATGGACACCAATAAAATTTAAATACTTGGAATTTAGATAATTCATGAAATTAATTGATGAGACCTTAGGGGTCCTTCGTTTAACAGGTGCAACCAACCCCCCTTTTTTTCTTGAATTGCTCCTCCCTCCTTCTTCTACCTTCAGTTGTAGTTACCCATCTCTTGGCTCCTCCCCCCCTATCATGGCTACCTCCTCCCTCCTCATTAAACCATGTTTACAAATTAGCGGTCTTTATTCTAAATGTTGAATGGGTTTCTAAACCACTGAGCGGCCTGTCTGTCTGTCTGTCTGTATGTCTAGTGGCGGCCCCGTGTCGGTGTGTGTCCGTCAGTAAGGTCGGTGTTTGTGTGTATGATGATCGGCGTGTGTGTATGTTTTAATTAATAAACATGCCCGACATCATTTAAAGTGCACAGACCACATTTTAAAACAACCATTCCATTTTTTGTTGAACATGGTTTTAAAAAATCAAAATTATGTTCAAAATCCTGTGAGCGACTACTACAACAGTACACATTAACAACAGTACACATTAACAACAGTACACATTATTAACAGTAAACTTTACCAACAGTACACATTAACAACAGTACACATTAACAACAGTACACATTAACAACAGTACACATTAACAACAGTACACATTTTTAATGGACATGTTTTGAAAATACAAATTCTTAAAGGGATAGATTCAGCGAGGTTATAGTATATAGAGTGATGATGTACGCTAATCCTTTGCTAATTGTACAGGCCATGTACTTCACTTCCAAAAGGTCAATCTGTACATTACAGTACTGGGGGTGATTTCTAAAAATATTTAAATGGAGAATTTGTTTTCTATGTAACTATTAAAATCTACTACTCCTTTATCGAGTGCAGGATTCCATTTTCACAGGAAGACGTACATTTACACCCTTTTACATAGCAATGCAATTGAAATAACGCTCACACAGTTTCTATAAAACGTTGATTTTCTTTAATCCAACCAAATCCACAAAAATAAAGTTCTTTAACTATTTCATCCTGAAATCAATTAAACTAAATTTCTTCTATTTTTTGATAATCTTTTCTCGTTTGGTTCTTAAATCGTTGCCACAAACTTTGATTTTCTAATCTCTATATCTTTGCAACCAATTGTAGTAGACCTTAGATATTTGAAACTATCAATTTTGTTGGATCGAATAGTCTAAGTTTGAAATATTAAAGGTGTACATCATTGGGTTGCAAAGATATAAGACTTAGCAAATTTGAGTTTGTGGCAAGGGCTCAGTTCCTTTATGATTTCTTTCATTCTCAAATCCCTTGATTAACGATCTGATCTAATTTGCAATGCGTTTATAAAAAACGAGGTTTTTATTTTTTCTTAAATATAAAGTTTCTTCTTTTTTATTTTTCTTAGAATTTAACCATTGTTTGTCCTCGTGTTGTATCGGAGGCTGCAACGGAGGCTGTTAATCTCCCCACTGTTTATTCAACGTCCCTTGATCGTTCCCAGGTGGCCAAATCATCAATCCTGTCCTCTGATTGGTCAGATCTAAAGGTGCATGGCTCCTATTGGTTGATGTGTGCGGGAGCAGCGCTTTGAATCCTCTGGGACCGCCCCCCCTGGGACCAGCCAACAGCAAGTACACTATACTCATTATTCCGTTCAGTCTGGCGATAGAAGAAACTTTGAGTCTCAGGGCATAGCGGAGTAAACCTCTAGAGAGAACACAGCTCTCAAGGGACCCGGAGCAACCAACCAAACCCAACCCAGGCTTAGACGCAAACTTTGTAAACAAACCAACAATCAAACAGACTTCAAAGTGAATTACATAATCCACGTACCTTCTCTCTCTCTCTCTCTCTCTCTTCCTCCTCCTTTAGGTTGAGTAGTGGTGGACAGTGTATAGTGTTGATATGACAATGTTTGGGGCAATGCACGGGGGCGGGGGCACACTGTCTCTCAAAGCAGAGTCCTTGGACCCTAGAACCTGGATGCAGCAACAGCAGGCCATACCTCAGATGCAGGATCAACCAGGGTAAGTAGATTTTTAATAATTTAAAATTGCTATCGTTAATTTCTAATGATCAATAATTTAAAGAGGGTCCTACCAGATTCACAAGGCTAATATTATGGCCTGTACGTGATCAATAATGTGGAAGATACCGTCGTTTTTCTACCTTAAACAGTTTTCAACAAAATCCTTCATTGTATCTGTAGCAAGAAATCTGCAAGAGAAGTCATGTATAGCTCATTCATTCTTCAGACAAAGCTTTCCATGCAGGGTATCGATGTGAATCTGATAAGCGTCGGTATAAATAGGGATCACCTAGCTTTAGAACACAATATATTCGGTCAGAAGTCAAAACCTTCATTTTATTAAAGAAAAATGTGTTAGTTTTTATATAAAGTTCGCTTTTTTTCATTCGCTAATCCTCCATTCTTTTGTCATTTTATTTGATCCTCCCCCTCCCCCTCCCAACCTCTCTTTTCCTTAATATCTCCCCATCTCAAACTGAAATTAGGAATGACAAATGAAAGTTTATAAAGTCAACGGAGACTTGAGTTAAGATACGAAAACTTGAGAAATTAAGTTCATTAATTTATAATTCATCCATTTCATTCCATTATCCATCATCAACTTCAATCTATACAAGAACATTACTTGCACGACTTTGTGAACCTCGGAGCTCCTCTGACTTAAATTAACGTCCATCTAAATCTATTCAGTTGCATATCTGAAATAAAAAAACACCAGTTATGAACTAATTCAAAGAAACCAAAGTTTAACCTTTCAGATCATTTTACTTTAGTTTGACGTGCTTCAGATCATTTTACTTAAGTTTGACGTGCTTCAGATCATTTTACTTTAGTTTGACGTGCTTCAGATCATGTTTACTAAAGAGATTTTAGTCGACATTAAAGTCTCCTGACTTGTAAAATTCCTCGTGTCCCAACTCTTCCTATTCCGCTTTTTATTCTAATCTGCAATTTCCTTTACTCACTTTTCCAATATCTATTTTACATTCCTTCATCCTTCATCCTTCATCCTTCATCCTTCATCCTTCATCCTTCATCCTTCATCCTTCATCCTTCATCCTTCATCCTTCATCCTTCATCCTTTATCCTTCATCCTTCATCCTTCATCCTTCATCCTTCATTCTTCATCCTTCATACTTCAACCTTCATTGTTCAATGTTTTAATATTTCTACTTTCTTCTCACAAGAATATCTTGCTGTGTTCTTTGTTTATAAAGAAAACTGGTTTTCTAGCTTCCTTTTCCCCCACAGTACTTACTCAATTCCTCCACCCCTAACCCTTGGGAATACTTTCCCCCAATCCAATATAAGTATATATAAGTTTATATATATATAAAGCTAAGACTAGGATACGGGATGATAGCTAGCTGGGCACATAAGTTTTCTAAGAACGGGTAAAAAATACATATTTTTAATCAAAACAAAATAAAAAACTAATTTTGATCTTAGGTTTGGACATGGTATCTCCACTTTTAATCTAAAATAAGCCTCAAGCAAATTTAAATCTTATTTTATTTCATTCTAATGTCTACCTATCTATTCACCTATCTATAGGTTTATAATTGTTTATAAGCTCTGTAATTACGGTTTTATATCAAGTTCTTTTAACCTGTGTATAGTTCCAATATTGATTTGGATTTCTTGTATAGTAGTAATGTGTTTGTTTAAAGGGGAGACTACGGGGTTAAAGAATTATTCATTTAATCGAATATATTTAAAATTCACTCTTCAAATAGAATATATTTGTGTACAAGAGAAAATATCTTGAAATTGATTCTTTCTTTCTAACTTATTTTTTTTGTTTAAGTAGTTTTCCTTTACTTCATAATCGTCCATACCTTTCTTCTTTAACATATAATAGGTATATATATTTGTATTCGTATTCTATATGCCTGTATCAACCTACTATATGCCTGTATCAGCCTAATATATGTCTGTATCAGCCTAATATATGTCTGTATCAGCCTAATATATGTCTGTATCAGCCTACTATATGCCTGTATCAGCCCACTATATGTCTGTATCAGCCAACTATATGTCTGTATCAGCCTACTATATGTCTGTATCAGCCTACTATATATGTCTGTATCCTTATTCTATATGTCTGTATCAGCCTACTATATATGTCTGTATCCTTATTCTATATGTCTGTATCAGCCTACTATATATGTCTGTATCCTTATTCTATATGTCTCTACCACCCTCCTGGGACCAAGTTTACTATATAAAAACACATCCAATTCTCCAGTATAGAGACGAGGAAAAGACAAGACACGAAAATCTTAAGATTACATCGTTTTATTTTTGCTCCGATCTTCAGGGTTGAGTTTGTAACATGTAGGGCCCTTGAGACAATTAAAGTATGCCCTAGGGCATGGCTAGGTCCCCCAGGGAGAAATGTTCTAGCTCCAAGGGTGCACTAAGCTACTACCATGGATCCAGTATTAATCCAACAGCCAGCCAACTCTATACACTTCACATGCGACAACAACAAATGTTTGTCGACCTTTCGACAACTAGACTTCCTTATCTGCGACATAAAGATCCGTTTCGGTGAGATTATCAAGAAAAAAACTGGAATTTCTGAACAATCTGATGTCAGAACTTCTGTGAATCTTGGGATGAAGCATTATTGATCTCCATCTTATGCAGATTTACGGATTCATTTTAACTCCTCTCCGATATCCCGTGGTGGTCATAACTTTAATTGAGAAATAAAGCATTTTTCTTAGAATTTATAAATGTCCACATTGGATATTGAGATCAAGATTAACAATACTCAGAATTCCCTGAACAATATATTATTTGAGTTCTGATGTTAATCTATTCCTATATTTGTATTAGGAAGTATATATATCCCTCCCAATATAATTAAAGGTATCTAATGCTTCTATACATAATTTATACACCGTGTGAACTTCACTGAAATCTAGCGCTAAATAATCATCGTAAATTTTACAGAATTCCAAACTTAAGATAATTAAGAAAATTCCCCAAAAATTTGTCTTTCTCAAACAGTCATTTACTAGGTGGGTTGCGGCCACGGGAAAGGAAGCATAGGCAGATAATAGTCTATTTATCCGTATCTGTAACTGTAACTGTATCTGTATCTGTATCTTTATCTGTATCTGTATCTGTATCTGTATCTGTATCTGTATCTGTATCTGTATCTGTATCCGTATCCTTATCTGTATCTGTATCTGTATCTGTATCTGTATCTGTATCTGTATCTGTATCTGTATCTGTATCTGTATCTGTATCTGTATCTGTATCTGTATCTGTATCTGTATCTGTATCTGTATCTGTATCTGTATCTGTATCTGTATCTGTATCTGTATCTGTATCTGTATCTGTATCTGTATCTGTATCTGTATCTGCATCCGCATCTGTATCTGTATCTGTATTTGTATCTGTATCTGTATCTGTATCTGTATCTGTATCTGTATCTAGGTGTGGCCTAGTAAGAGCAGAGTTTACGAAGCAACCTCCTTCAAATCTCCGAAAATCGAATTTCTTCCATTTTATGATTCAATTTTACGACAGGTTAGATATTAGTATTTTTAACTATTAAAAAATTGTATTTTTTCAAAAGATTTTCACAAAATAGCGATGTTTCCGTAAATTACATCAATTTTACGTGTAGCGTATAATTTAGCAGCACAATTTTTGCGCAATTTTGCGCATTGCACACAACAAGAGCTAGTGATAGTTTTATCATTATCTACATAATTTGGCGCAATTTTTGGATATATTTAAGCAACTGATGAAATGTAATGAATATATTTAAAACTGTCCAGGGCTGGTCAACAAGTGGAGATTGAACGAACAAGTTTTATTGCTTTCTGTGACGAAGGCGAGGTAAAAACAAAATATTATTAAAGGGACTGTACGCGTAATTTTAAGTGACACTTTAGGCAAAGAGGGCAATGTCCTGATATACAATTGTACCCATAAAAGCTTTGTCTGAAAATATCCATGGTTTTAATTTCTTTGCGAAATTCACAGAATTAACAATTTTCGATTAAAAAAAAACAACAGTATCTTCCACATTTTTTATCAGAAGGTCTCTTGAAATTACGTGTACAGTCCCTTTAAAGATTTCAAAGTTAGAATTTAGAAAAAGTAGAGTATGTCCCCCCCCTATGATAATAATAATAATAATAATAATAATAATAATAATAATAATAATCAGGTGTAAGACAGGAGCAAGATATCTATGTTCGATTAATTGATTCTGCGACAAAACAGGTAAAATTTAACTGTTTCCAATAAAATAAGACCAAAGAAATATCTAATTTTATTCGAATTCCGCGCGATTGCGCGAAATTCCGGGCTATTCCGCGGAATTTTGCACAATTCAGTGCAATTCCACGCAACGGAATTCTGATTAGAAACCCTAATTGGAATCTGACGTGTTTAGACAACATTTTATTACAAAGATAAACCCCAAAGGTCTAAATTAAAAAAATTACAACAAATTGTAAACAAACGGTGTATTCAGAGATATGGTTAAACAATATTGTTAGTCTATGATTAAAAGGGAGGTGGTTTAAACTATTTTGAACCCAATATCCCGTCTGTCATGTCAAGTAACAGTACCAGAATCTGCCACGTGCTACATCTGTCTGCAAGTTATGATAAACAGATACATTCTCTTGAGGAGCTGTAAACCCCCTCCCCCCTACCGACTCTTTAACCCTTCCCCCCCCCTCCTTAGCCTGCAGTGTGTTGGGCTAAAAACTAACCAGGCAGCCTGCAGTGTGTTGGGCTAAAAACTAACCAGGCAGCCTGCAGTGTGTTGGGCTAAAAAGTTAGCTTTATCTTTCAGAGATAAATGTTCTTTTATCAATCAATTTAAACTTTAGACAAATAAAATATCTATCTATCTAGGTTGTGGAGTATGAAGGAAGCAACCATATAAAGAACCCGGAAATGCAAAGAGTACTTTTAACCCATGAGGTTATTTGCAGGTAGATCAACTGAAATATAAAAATAAGAATTTAAATAAAATAATCAGAGCTCCGTCTTCTTTTCATTGGTTCAAGAAACGGCAGTACAATTTTTTCGTAAACAAAAATATATTTACTTTCATTTGTTAATTTTGATCGAGTGAAAATATAAATTTTTTCTTTCTTAACAATTCGCTCTTTTGAAAGATCTTGGAAGGTTTAAGTAAAAATGGTGAATTTACTTTACTCTAATGGGGCATTCATATTTCTTGTTTTTTTTAAAGAAATGGACGCAAAGTTTTCTGAACTCTGTGTTGCCGCCATTTAAAAATATTTCCGGCCTCTGGCCGGCCTCTGGAGCCGGAGGATTGAGCCTCAATGGGAAGGATTTAGATAGATTCTTTAGCATTCATTCTTGCAATAGTGCACATTTATTGTACACATCATGCACAGTTATTAGAATTATGCTCTTGTAAAAGTGTAATTAAGGTGTTTTTTTTTCTCGCAAAATGCGAAAAATTTGCAAATGAACGTCAAGAAAACCTCCTTTTTGTGAAGATTATTTTTTGGATTACGAATATAGATCAACAAATAAAAATATCACGAAAGGTACTGACTACTCACTTCAAACTATGATGTTATAATTTGTATATTTTTTCAACCTGTGATGGTGTACACCTTGGATATTTCGGACTCTGACAAAAAAAAAATTAGAAAAAAAAGTTTCTTTGTAATCGATATCGGCATAATTTCTTAGAATTTAAAATAAATCAAATGACGGCTTTGTTAATTTTGAAGAAAGCGGATGAAAAACGTTTATTTTAAAGAAAGCAGATGAAAAACGTTCATTTTAAAGAAAGCAGATGAAAAACGTTTATTTAAAAGAAAGCAGATGAAAAACGTTTAATTTAAAGAAAGCAGATGAAAAACGTTTATTTTAAAGAAAGCAGATGAAAAACGTTCATTTAAAAGAAAACAGATGAAAAACATAAATTTTGAAGAAAGCAGATGAAAATTGTTAATTTTGAAGAAAGCAGATAAAAAACGTAAATCTTAAAAAAAGAAGATGAAAAAACATAAATTTTGAGGACAGCAGATGAAAAACAAAGAAAAATTTGAACAATTTATCCATCAAATTATTTAAAAGTATTTATAAATAAATCTTGTAATCTTTCTAATGTTTTCTACAAGATAACCCTGGAATGATATCCTAGACTTAAATAAACATTCTTAAAGGGAGTGTAGATTTAATTTCAAGTAACCTTCCAGTTCTTAAAAATCCCTTTAACAATAATGAAGATATCTCGTTTTTGATTATCTTGAAAAATGTTAATTGTCGATTTTTCTCTAGTAATAAAAGAAGACAATTTTTAATATTGATCCTACATCAAATTTACGTCTTTAATTTCCTTTTTATTTAGAATATTTGCTACTTTTAAACTTATTGTTTTAAGAGTTTTTATAATTTACATTTTTTAACATCCTTGGTTAGAGGAGAAAAAATACTTTATTTTAATAAAATTATGTTTTTTAGTCGGTGCTGTGAGAAGAAAAGTTGCGGTAACCGAAACGAAACCCCGTCTGATCCTGTGGTTTGTGACAGGTAGGAAACTTATAACAAATTCATGAAACCTAGTTTCGAAAATTCAGTTTCATTTGAACACTTTTTTCTTATTGTTTTTTTAAATATGATGGGTTCCGAATCGATCGTGGTTTTGATTATTTAAGCCATCATAAGTTATTTTAGAAAATCTGTACGTTTAAAAAATTTGTTTTTATAAAGTTTTGAATTTAAGCAACATTCTGTTTCAAAGTTTTTAGATGTTAAAACGCAAAAAAATTTGTTTACATGTCTAAACATTTTGGAATTTAAAAACTTTGGAAACTTCAAAGTTTTACCCCATCCGACCAAACTGTTAGAAGCTCAGTTAAAAAAGAAACATAAATAACTTTCGACGTCCCTATCCCCCCCCCCTCCTGCCTCCTCACATTGAACATCCCCTCTCTCTCTCATCAGTGCCTTATTTTCCAAATTTGGCGGCAAAATCTTGGGCTTCGTGGCGGCAACATATATTTTTTTAAAGAAGTCAAATACGATCATTATTTCCCTTTTCTGGCGTTTCATTGTCGTTAGCGTACACTTATTTTTCTAAAAATATATTCCAGGAGGAATATATTTTGGTATTATGTCGAAATTATACGAATTGACTCGCTAATGAATTTTCATATTGTTATGTAACAAGCATTATCACGCCTATGCTCAGAAAATTGGTATAAAAACTGAAGAAAAAAATTTGACCATAAAACTTTTAAGACAAAAAAATATTTCTGTCCAGATTATGATTAAATAAACATATTTTGTAATGTATATTTACCCCTGTATGGTTGGCAGATGTGAGACCGGGAAAATAATGAAAGGCTGGGGAAATATATGAATATGAAAATATATGAAAATATAATTTTAAACTTCCGGGTTCAAATTGTTTTTTTCCACATTTCATAGTTTGAAGATTCTTAATTTTTATTTTGTTATAAATTATTTTGGTCCTTTATTTTTAATCAGATGTACATATTTTCATCTGCTTCCGTCCTTGTCCTTAATCCACTTCTAACCGGTTAACCATCTCTTATCCTTGAAACATGCTTTTTAAAAACTTTTTAGCTATTATAATATTTTCTAGATATACATATTGTTCTTCTAAACCTAACTTTCTTGTATACACCACACTGTGCTTTAAAGGTCCCAAGCTCTTTACCAAAAATCGATGGTTTGCCAATTACTTGTTATAAGCCAAAGCTAACAATAATTGCTTTTCATTGCTAAAATGTACATATAAAGGGCAACAGAAAAGCATAATAAGTGAGCTAGAGCGTTAAAATCAAATCCAAAGGCTTTGTGACACTTCAAAGTCGACCCTGTCTTAAAATTGATGAGAATTTGTATAAGCAGGCTGAATCTACCAATTGTTAAGTTATCCAAAATATGTGCATGGTAGAAACCAAAAACTAGATTTTCCCTTCTCAACTAATCTTATTATTACTGGCATTTATTTACTCTCCGCCCTCCCCTCATCCTCCTGCCAATCTCCCCATCATACCTCATTAAACAATATTAGACAGTTTCTACATATAGGCAATTATATGGTTTGTTTTTAAATTCTCAAGGTTTTCGGGATTTTAAAAGTATTTGAGAAGTTTTACACATTTTAAAGTTTTCTAAAGTATTCTTAACATTTGCTAAAACCATACCAAATTTTAGCTATGAGAGAAGATACTTACAAAACAAACCAAAAAACCGTTTACATTTTAGATCTCCTAGGATAAACATTTAGTTTAAATGTTCTTATACAAAATTCCTTTTCGAAATACTACAATAATTCTTACAAAAAATTAACAATTTTATAATTTTCAGGTTCCAATTAAAGTTCTTCTTGAAGTGTAATCAGAACTGTTTGAAAAATGCTGGAAATCCACGAGATATGCGCAGATTCCAGGTCGCAGTGTCTTCAGCACTTCAGGTATATATATATATAAAGTGGTAATCTCTGTTTGGTTAAAAATTCCAATCATAACTAATGAACCTCTTGACCAATTTTCCTCAAATTTTGATTGGGGAACATGGTGGAACCAAAGAAAAGTTGAGTGTTAGAGAGAAACTTGGTTTCTAGGCAAAGCTGGGATCCAAAGCTAAATTGCAATCTTATACTGTGTACAACATTTCATAAAGCAGATCCAGATTGTCCTATATTTCATTTGATTCCACCAAATATAATGCAGCAATATATAATAAAGAATTAGAAACACCAGAATTTTCTGCTTTGATTTTTTTATATTGCTCTTGACAAGTCATTAAAGTTCCTTGCAATTTTAATACATTTTAAGAGATATTATGCACATGAAGAATATGCAAAAATTATTTGTTTGTTAAATAATATTCGTTTTCTTAAATAAAGAGGCAACTTACTCTTTCATCATTAAATCAACGAGAAATCAGTTCTTTTAAAGTATTTTTTCTGAACTAATTTTAAAATGTTTAAAATTTAATTGTAGGTTGACACGACCTCCCTGCTCTGCATCTCTGAGAACATGTTTGTTCACAATAACAGTAAACATGGACGGAAAATCAGGCGTCTGGACGGTTCCGACGGTAAGAAGAAGAAAAACTGTTTAAATGTGGGTTTGAAAGGGGGGGGGGGGGATTAGTGACATGTTTATTTTATTTTATTCTTTCCGTTTCCTCTTAGTTTCATCACATCATCATCATTTGTTAAATATTAAGATAAATGTATAAAACTTTGTCAGGAAGAAGCGGGGGGGGGGGGTTGGATAAGAAAAAAAAAATCAAATTTGAATTATTTTCTTGGTTTAGGATACAGTCTGGGTTCTGGGGTAGTGGGATCTTCTGACTCCATCACTACCGCCGCTCATTTAAACGGTCTCAAATTTTTTTCATTCAAATATTTTTTTTTTTACAAAAAAATAGCACGACTAATTTTGAATTATATGTATGACTTAACACTTTCAATCAAACCAATCGTTTCAATACATAATATTAGCATTTAGCAGTTTTAATCCATATTTACAAGTATTACTTCAGAACTAATTTTATTGAAAAATACATCTTATATTGAAACGGAGGGGGTAGACTTTAATACAAATTATAATATTATTATTATAAATGTACGCTAACCTAGTGTTCTAAGCGGCTCAACAACATTCTATTCAAAAGGCCTGATTTTTCAAGTTTTAAAAGTAGTTAAAAATCAATTTTTAAAATCTTATGAAGTACTGATTAGAAAAGATTTAAAGGGAACCTTTTGCAAACCTTTATACAAAGAGTCAATTAGAATATGGTGTAAAGTCCCTTTAAACCGTTGTTTATCTAGGAATCTACCCTCACACACTAGTTCCTCAAATCAAAGCAGTTTCCCCTAGCGAGGGATGGACAGCTGGAGGTCAAACTGTTATTATCATTGGGGAAAACTTCTTTGATGGACTTCAGGTAGAAATGAATAATAATAATAATTATATGTATGAATAATAATAATAATAATATGAATAATAATAATAATAATAATAGTATGAATAATAATAGTTATTATAGTATGAATAATAAAAATGATTATAGAATGAGTAATATTAATAATTATTATATTAATAATAATAATGATGGCAATAATTGTAATAATGATACTATTGATAACAACAGTAGAAAAAAAGAAAAAAATATTAAATTTCAAATTTTAGGTTATTTTTGGGACAATCCCTGTTTGGAGTGAGCTCATTACCTCTCATGCAATTAGGGTTCAAACCCCGCCAAGGTATTTCCAAATCTATTATTCCTCCCTTATATTTAGTTAATTTTATCAACCAAATTTGTAAAAAAAAGGTGTTTTCTTTAGGAAAAACAACTTTTTGAATTTTCTTTAACATCTCACATATTATTTTGTATAATATGGACAATATGGGTTGAAAAAGTTTCGAGAAAAGTCCAAACAGTAAAACTCACAAAATTCTGTAATAGAATGATGCCTGCTTGGCACAAATTATCAGTTTTAATAGTCCAATGAAAAAAAACACATCAGTTGCTTTTTAGCAACATAAAAACATGCAAGATTGCTTAAATTTCGTCTTTCTACTCTACAGTTTAATTGGTTTACTGGAATATTTTAAAATAAAAGTTAGATTTCTAAAATATATAAAATATACATTGCTAATTCATATTAATAAGAACAAATTTTTCTTTAAATCTCAGATACATTTGGGTTTTTGCTAGTCCATTGAGCTGGAAACACAGAACAGAAGCTTTTTAACAACACGAAAACATATAAGAATGCTTTAATGTCGTCTTTCTTAAAATACAAGTTTAAATTCTCCAATATATTTAGACATATTCCTGGTATTGTTGAAGTAACATTGGCCTATAAATCTCGGCAGTTCAGTAAGGGGGCTCCCGGCAGATTTATTTATGTTTGTAAGTATTCTTCTTCTTGTACAATTTATTTTTTATACAGTGAAACCCTTAATAACGAATACATCGAAAGAATTCAGCAAATGTCGTATTCTTCACTTTCTGATATGGAATGTTGCAGATATTTAGTTTTTTAATTAAATGATTATATGGAACTCTTTAAAACTGTTCCAGCACATTCATGGCTATTTGCTTATTTTCGCAAATACTGAAATTGTCCGTAATATAGTATAAAACTCATTGAAAAATTGTCAGGACGACAGTTGATAAATTCTTCCGATGTATTCTTTTTTAAGGGTTTCACTGTAGTTAAATTTTAAAAATGCATCAGTTTTACAAGCAATTAAAAGAATATTTTTATTTGCAACTAAAGTTTCATATAAAGAGTTACATTTGTAGACATATTGAACCAATTGTGTTAATTAAATTCAAACTTCAATTACACTAAAGAGCATATTTGATTTGCACTATATTTAATATTTTAATGTCACGGCAAATAGATAATCTGATATTTTCAGCTTTGAACGAGCCTTCAATTGACTACGGGTTTAGCAGGCTGAGTAAACTGGTTCCAAGGCATCCAGGTAATCTGTCTTTTCTTGATCCCATAAATACCGACTGCCTTTAGAATTGGATACCATAAATACTTATTGCTTTTAGAATTGGATACCATTAATGCCGATTGCCTTTAGAATTGGATACCATTAATGCCGATTGCCTTTAGAATTGGATACCATAAATACCGATTGCCTTTAGAATTGGATACCATAAATACCGATTGCCTTTAGAATTGGATACCATAAATACTGATTGCCTTTAGAATTGGATACCATAAATACTGATTGCCTTTAGAATTTGATACCATTAATACTGATTGCCTTTAGAATTGGATACCATAAATACTGATTGCCTTTAGAATTGGATACCATTAATACTGATTGCCTTTAGAATTGGATATCATAAATACTGATTGCCTTTAGAATTGGATACCATTAATACTGATTGCCTTTAGAATTGGATACCATTAATACTAATTGCCTTTAGAATTGGATACCATAAATACTGATTGCCTTTAGAATTGGATACCATTAATACTGATTGCCTTTAGAATTGGATACCATTAATACCGATTTCCCTTAGAATTGGATACCATAAATACCATAAATACTTAATCCTCTCTTTTTTGGATATCCACTGCAGTCCCCACTTGATTCTAATTTCTAACCAATTTCTCTCATATTGGTTAGCTTCTAAACCAACTTAGAGTTTATTATTTAACTTTTACTCCCGTCTACTTTGATTTTACTCACATAAAACGATGGATCTAGAAATTTTGAATTCAAAATGTGAAATTCAATAAAAAATCACATGATGCTCCTAAAAAGTAAAAACGCTAGCAGAAGAGATTCCCTCTCAATTTTGTTTAAATTATTAATTTGTTCAAGGGGAGGGGGAAATATGAAATATACAATTCATAATGATATTATAGGAACTTACATCTCAGGGGGGTTGGAGATAAAGTTATTACATCAAAATTAGTGTGGAAAAGTTAACAAACGAATTTTGTAAAATTAAACTTAATTTAAGATACGTACTACCAAATAGATTATTAAGCACAATAGCTGGCAGCGTAGAATTTGTATACACTCTAAGTACAGTTTTATTCTTACGTCACAAATTATTTATAGTAGTGATAATAAAGTGCTTATCTTACAGTAAATAAGTGCAATTTTGTGTTCTTTATTTTCTGTTTTTACACTTTTTTATTTAATCTTGGAAAACACGTCAATCAATGGGAGAGAATGTTGTCTTCCTTGTTATATTTGACACTTGTGACGTCATGTATAATTGGTCCATTTCTCTGTTACCACCTACTGTACTTCATAATTTATTTGCGTAATACAGGGTTAACAGTCAAAAATATATCGGCTCACTAAAGGGCAAAAATCTATTTACAAGGGCTCATTTTTAAGTGATTTTACAAAACATTAAAAGTCCACTTTTTTCAAGTGTCTGAAAAACTTCCGCTTCTAGCTATAGAGGATAAAATGATTAAAAATGAATTACTACTAGGAGACCCAGAAAGATTACCGAAGGAGGTTGTTCTAAAGCGAGCAGCAGATCTAGCTGAAGCTCTGTATGCTATGCCACGAGGTGGTCTAGGAGGTCGAGGAGATCTAGGTGGTCGCACAGAAGGATATAATTATAGTCAGCTTGCTGCTATACAGCATGATACGCCTTATGACGGAGTAGAAGACTATAACAGACAAAATTCATCTCCAAGGTACTTTTTTTCAAGCATTAAATTTATAAAAAATACTTCTTTTTCTTTTATTGAATCCACAATTTAAAATAACCACATTTTTTCCGATCTTGAGAAAGTAATTTTTAGGACATATACCGAGCCGGCTGTAACCCCAGTTTCTAGCTCCGGATATTTATCAGGGATGACGGGAGCCGGTATGCCGGGATCTCCGGCTCTTTTTAATACTTCGTCAAGTAAGTCCAAAGCTTTAGATATATGTATGTAGATTATACATACACTGATACAGCCCTGTTGCACAACAACGTACATAATAAATAGATCAAGTTCAAAATGCTGAAAGTGTACTTTTTGTGATATAATAAGCAAAAAAGCCACTTTGGATATAAAAGTAGTTGTTTATGCACGTATGGACACCTTTTATACACCTTTTTGCTTTTGATCTTTGGAATTTTTGTTTGGAACTGTACACTTGCCACAACTTATAATTTTCTAATATCCAATATCTTTGAAAACTCTTCATTTGTCAAACTCTGATTTCTGCTAGATGAAATACTAATAATTTGAAAAATGTAAAGTTTCCACCAACTAATTGCATAGATATAGAGATTTGAAAATTAGAATTTGTGTTCAATTCTTTAAATTTCCAGTAAACACTTAGCATCATCATGTAAATATTTTGAATTAGTTTCAATTAATTCATTCAGATAAAAATTAGGTGCATATTTTGTTTAGCATGATTCTATTTTATTTTGCTTTTTAAAACTTATTTACATTATTTCATTATTTTTAGCTTCATCTCCCTCCCCGACTGAGAAAGACCAAGCCTCAATTTTGGCGCATATGCAGATGTCGCTACGGACACACATGACTGATGCACGTGGGGCAGAAACCGGTTTACGTAATCATATGATTGACCCGCGGCAAACTGAGCTCAACAAAAATCAATCAATCATTGATACTAAAAATTTTATGGCTGATGGTAGACAGTTTCCACCCCCGATGCATTACATGGGAATGCAACATCTTTCCCCGTGGCAGCTTGCTGCTCATTAAGGTTTGTTTTAGCTTCGTTGTTTTTCTTTCAATTCAACTGCACTTGATTTAAAGGTCCTGTTGACGTATATTATCATATATCAAGTCTGTATCACGACGGTACCGCTTTAAGCCTTAGTCTTATTTATGCTTCAAAAACAGTCAGGAAAAGAGGCGGAAGTTGCTGACAATTGAAAGAAAGGTCGTCTTTGATCAAATCAGAATAATTTGCCGAATTCGGTTGTCAACCTTATTTTACACGTAAACTTTTAAAAAGTATAAAAATAATCCCAAGTCCTATATTTCCAAAATGTGGATTGTTAATTTACGCGTTAAAAATTACCAGAGGTATAAAGCATTTTGTTTAGATTTCATTTCTTTCTGAATATCGCTGTATCTTCCTCGTTGTTACTCAGATAGAAGTTCAACAGTCACCTTGTGAATTTGATATGTCACATACTAATGGAGGGTCACTTTAAACTTTAAACGTCTACAGTCCCTTTAAACATTATTGTTCAAATCTATTCTGAAAGAACCTTTTTAAACAAAATCTTTTTCAGGAATGTCGTCTTTGATGTCAAGCTCATTTGCTGCAATGTCTCCCTTTTGTGGCCAGCCTTACACTCCTTTAACTGCCTCAGCGAAATAATAATTTTCACGATATATTCAACAGGAGGAAAAACCTTTACGCAACTTAATTTGCGTATTTCTTATCTAATAAAAATGATGTATTTTTCCGCTCAGAAGAAAGCAATTATACAATCTAAAAATCTCATGATATATTTAATTTATATTCTATGTGTTTTAAAAAAGTTTTTTTTGTTAATCACATTAACAATGTATTTTTGTCATTTATCTATTTGTAAAACATATCAATCCATTATTATTTCTAGTAGTTTTCTGTCATGTGAAATCTATATTCTTAGTTTTTAGAAATGCAATTTGTCAACGGAATTTTACCGGACGTTCCGAATAAAAAGTGCCATCATCGATTTTCACTTTTAAATGAAAGTTCACTTTGAATTACGTAGATATATTCTTGATACAAGACATAACGCAAAATCAAAATAAAGATGCATAAGTTTGCTCAATCATATTCTTCACTTAGAAATATAAATAAAGTAGAGATAAATAAAGTGTGTTATTCTAATTTATGTTTTAAACTTTCTGAAAAGTTTTTATGCTTCCTTTTCGTGTGTTGCTCTGTGATACATCTTGAGTCAATTTTTGTAAAACTATATATACAGTAAACCTTAATTGGATACTTTTATTTTTTGGCGTAACTTTGCCAAATTTTAAAATACTTTGTACTGTGTACAGTGCAAAGTGAACAGTGCACAGTGTACACTGCACATCGTGCAATGTACAGTTTACAGTATGCAGTGTGAAGTGTACATTGTACAGTGTACAGTGTACAGTGTATGGTGCACAGTACAATGTACAATGTATAGTTTACAGTACAGTGTACAATGTACAAATGGTGTAAAATGTACAGTATACAACGTACAATGTACAGTGTACAGTGTACGGTGTCGAGGAGTAAAATATTAAATATATTTTGTGCCATACCATTTTGTTTATCATCATTCAATAAATTTTCAATATTCATTTTCTATTTTTATTTTTTGAGAAATAGAGAGAAAAACTTTGACAAATGCACAAGTCTTTAAATATTATTACAAATGTTATAATGCTTTTTCTGAACTAAATAACAATAATTTTACAGAAATAACTTAACCCTATTCCTACTGGAGGGGGCAGGGACCCGACTCCTCGTATTTGTTGGAAATGACTCAAATAATATTGGTCAGAGCTGAGGCTCTTTAATTTTTTTCGACCTTTACACCTATTTTAAAAGCTATGTCCTAGCTATGCGTATATACCAGACTACTACCAGTAATTAGATTTCAACATTTTATAGCTCTTTGCAAAGCCTATTACAAAAGTAAACAGATTGCACAATTTTTGCAAGAACTTGCGCATAACTTTTTCGCAGACGTTTTTACCGAAAAGTTGCACACTTTCAATGTTGCTTGAATACAAACATAGGTTTTTTTTTGGCATAATGGAATTCGTTCAGTCAAGGGCTTTGCTCAAAAATGTATATTTGCCTAATTTCGTGCAATATATATTTGGCAAATTTCGTGCAATTTCTATTTTGCAAATTTTTTACAAATAACTAGATGTCGCAACAAATATTTGGATAATCTGTCAAATTCAGTGCGAAGTGATTTAAAAGTAGCTTTTAAAAAACTGACTTTGGTAGACGGCGGTTTGTTTACAAAGTTACTTTCGCATTTTTGCTTTATATATACAAAATAAATAACGATATCTTCAAAATTAATTATTGATCAAATATAAGATTTAAAGGGTACAGCTGTAAAGCATGCCCCACTGAAAAATTCCAACAACTTTTCCTTTAATCTCCCCCTTTGTAAAGAAATGTATGTGGATGGTTGATATCAAATATCTGACTGATAAAGATGTAATCCTAGATTAGTCTTTTGTAAAATAAATCCAGGGTCCGGTGTCGTGCATTAGTTCGTCCCCCCTCCAACACAACCCACCGGTGTACTATAGGAATATCCGAGCTGGGCCAACCTTTGCAGTCCTACTTTGGCCGGACTGCTTTTTAACAACATCAAATATACTTCAGTGTTTCTTTAACGTCGTCTTCCTATTCCACAGTTTTCTTGTTATCACTGTCTCTGACAAATTGTTGTGCACTTTTCACTTTAAACCTCATCCCCCCGATGCCCTTAGCCTCCCCCCTCCCTTCCTTTCCGTCCCCACTCCCCAGCCCTATATTGTGTGGTCAATCTACTTTTAGTAATTTGTTCTCTATTCACGCTCAATTTACTTTATTTTCTCTCTTTCTCAATCACAAGCAAATAGTTTTAAATTTCAATTTTAAAATCAGAACAAATTCGATAATAACATTAGTTTTACCTATAATTATAGATACGACGAGAAACATAAACCTGTGGACTAATTAAGAGACGACTTAATGCGGTATTAATTAAGTGTATTTGATGTTGTTACAAAGAAACTAGTTTTGACTTGTAACTTTCAAGTCAAGTGGATCTGTTTACATTGTTTTATTCCTATATATCATGTTCACTGCACTATTTATAGTTATAACTAGAGATTAAAGTCGTTTTCCTTTTCCTTCTAATTATTATTACCAAGGTTTTACAAACAGCCCTGTTAGAATGGTTTTACAAACAGCACTGTTAGAATGGTTTTACAGACCGCACTGTTAGAATAGTTTTACAAACAGCACTGTAAGACTAATTTTACAAACAGCACTGTTAGAATGGTTTTACAAACAGCACTGTTAGAATGGTTTTACAAACTGCACTGTTAAAATGATTTTACAAACAGTACTGTAAGAATGGTTTTACAAACAGCACTGTTAGAATGGTTTTACAAACAGCACTTTTCTATTATTCTATATTTTGTTAGACATCTTTGCTTCAATATTTTATTTTAAAAGTTGAGAAGTTAAACTACAGGGTGTTGCAGTATACAAGAGTAAACTTGTCCGTCTTTACTGGTTCATCTTGCGGAGACATTATAGACACATCTTTACACATCTTTTACCCTTTTCATAAAATTAATTCTAGCAGACATAATAATATTATGGCTTTTGAAATTAGGTATTACAATGCTAATTCATAACAAAAACGATATCCAATTCGTCACTGAATTCCCATGTTTATTGGGACACCCTGTACCTTCTTTTACTACTATACCGGTACAAAATACTGATTTTAAGGGGAATTTACAAATTAATCTTAACAGTTCTTCTAGTTTGCTTTCCAATTCGCAGTTTAATAGTTTTTTAAGAGTTTGTGTCCTAGTAAAAGTATCTTAAAAACTAAGAACTAAACACTTTTGCGTATCCCAGTACCCTGGTTTGCTGTACTGTTTGCGTGTCCCAGTAGTTTGGTTTGCTGTAGTGTTTGCGTATCCCATGCAGTATCCTGGTTTGCTGTACTGTTTCCGTATCCCAGTAGCCTGGTTTGCTGTACTGTTTGCGTATCCCAGTAGCCTGGTTTGCTGTACTGTTTGCGTATCCCAGTAGCCTGATTTGCTGTACTGTTTGAGTATCCCAATAGCCTGGTTTGCTGTACTGTTTGCATATCCCATTAGCCTGGTTTGCTGTACTGTTTGCGTATCCCAGTAGCCTGGTTTGCTGTACTTTTTGCGTATCCCAGTAGCCTGGTTTTCTGTACTGTTTGCGTATCCCAGTACCCTGGTTTGCTGTACTGTTTGCGTATCCCAGTAGTTTGGTTTGCTGTAGTGTTTGCGTATCCCATGCAGTAGCCTGGTTTGCTGTACTGTTTCCGTATCCCAGTAGCCTGGTTTGCTGTACTGTTTCCGTATCCCAGTAGCCTGGTGTGCTGTACTGTTTGCGTATCCCAGTAGTTTGGTTTGCTGTACTGTTTGCGTATCCCATGCAGTAGCCTGGTTTGCTGTACTGTTTGCGTATCACAGTAGCTTGGTTTGCTGTACTGTTTGCGTATCCCAGTAGCCTGGTTTGCTGTATTGTTTTCGTATCCCAGTATCCTGGTTTGCTGTACTGTTTGCGTATCCCAGTAGTCTGGTTTGCTGTACTGTTTGCGTATCCCAGTCGCCTGGTTTGCTGTACTGTTTGCGTATTCCAGTAGCCTGGTTTGCTGTACTATTTGCGTATCCCAGTAGACTGGTTTGCTGTATTGTTTGCGTATCCCAGTAGCCCAGTAGCCTGGTTCCAGTGGCGTACATAGGGGGGACAGTAGTCCTCTTGCCCCCCCCCTGGAAAATACAAAATTAAAAGGAAACAAATTTAAAAAGTAAAACCTGACAATGACAAAGACTAAGGATTTGTCTAAATTCACTGTTAACACAAACTTTTAAGATACTTTAAACTAAAACTTTTGCAAAAACAAAACATCGACATATTAGATGCTTATAACATGATGGAAGATGTAATAAAGGTATTCTATTTTCTATTTTTCTATTTTTTCTTACAGTCAATTTATAAAGGAATTAAGCCTTTGGCACAAACTNTTCTCAAAATAAAATTCACTCCTGAGTGGTTTAATAATAAAAACACCAAACCACCCCACTTATCATTGAAGTATACTTTGACCCCTAGAAGTAGGATTTCGCGGACTGTAAAATTCTTGGTGATTTGTGTACATCAGCTATTTATGTTTATTTATTTATCTATGTCTCCAACATTTGGTTCCAAAGATATAGTGATTAGAAAATCAGAGTTTGTGGCAAAGACTCAATTCCTTTATTTTCATAAAGAGATAATAAGCGTAATTTCAAGTTCCCCTTTATGCAATGATGACAATAACATCGAATGAAGGAAAGAGAAGTTTTAGCCTTCTAAAGAGAATACTTTATTACACAAGATGTATTATGACAGAAAGCAGACCTAACGATTATGCACTTATGAAATGTTTGTGCAAGCAAATCCAAGAAAATTGTAGCTTAAAAGATTTGGTGAATATGTAGATTAAGTAAATTCTATCTACAAATTTCAGAAGAAATTTCGTTTATCAGTGAAAATATGATTTTTAATGATGCTGTGATTATTGATTTAGTTAGCTGTGATGGAGTTAAGTGATAAATTTATAAAGTTAAAAAGTTA